TAATTTAGCTTACACTTATGAATTTAGGGAGCACTTAAAATGTGAAATAATCATTTCACTACCCGACAAACTCCGAAATTTATTCATTCATTAGGCCTACATAATAGTTTAATATTGCTGTACTACTACTATATACTCCAACATCACTGGCGCATGGTAACAACCAACTGACTGCAGACTCTCCATAACCCTCTAGTTCCGTCACCTCTGGATTATTCATGATACGCTCAATACCTATAATTGATATATCTTGTATTAAATGACTGTAAGTTTTTAACTTGATGGGATATTATGGTGTTTAATGTCTGATTTATGATTTGTGAAGCTAGTGTAAAGGGATGTAGTGGTTTTTCCCACGTACTGTTTACCACATCTTTGACATGTAATTAAATAAATTAACCAATCCATTTTGTCATGAATGAGTGTTGTTTATCCTCTGATTTGCGTTTTGTCGGCATAATTGCCTAAGGGCCCCGTTCGAGCAAAAAACACCAACCGTATTCCCTTTATTTCACCGGGTAATCGCGCTGAGCACTCAGTGGGTGGTCGACCGTTCGAGCAAGTTTTAGCTCACGGTAAATGCGTGTAACGAAACTACTCTGGAAGTAAATTTCAACTTATCCCATTTGTTTACTTGCTACTATAACCGGCCCACGTACACACAGCGCGGCACGGTGGAACGATAATGTAGCTTAGTAACTTATAATGGCTGCTTTAAAATCTGTACGTAGTCTAGTTTATTCAAGTTTATATACTACCAAGCAATTTGGTGGTGAAAATTGTCGAGGATAATCCAGATGGTAAGGTAATTAGACTAGTGTCCAAACGGTTTTAGAAAGTGTGTACCGGTGAATTAACTGGTAATCGCACGGATATTTTTTCGCTCGAACAGGCCCTAAGACACATTAGCACATTAGATCTTAAGTAAGAACAAGAGGGACCCTGGTCATTGGTTACCTTTATGAGGAGGTCACTTCTAGATTTATGTTTACCTCTATTTATAGATTTTATTACCATACTCATTTGTAAAAAAATACTCTAGATGTGTATAAGAGACAGCCTATACTCAGTGTTTAGGTCCCTGA